ACTACCCAGGCCGACAGAGATTCTCACTCCTGTCCAGGGATACTGAATTTTTAACCCTGCGTCATCCACAAAAGCCTATACCAAAGGGAACATGCAGAAGATGCTTTGAAATAGTGAAGGGAGGGAGGGGGGAAAAGGAAGTTAAACCACAAGCTGGGCAGGACCTGGAGAGGTGTTTATAAATAAAGCCACTAAAAATAATACACTGCGCACTCGCATCTCTAACATAGCATTTTCTTCTCCACAGAACTGTGACAATGGTTATCTCGGTGGTATAATTATCTAGATTTGATGACAGATTAAAAAAATATATCTCTCAAACACCTGTTCAAGAGTTCTGTGTTTTTAAAGGCCATTGCCATTAACCTTGGGCCATGCACTTCATTGTGTTTAATTAGCAAGCTAATGAAGCCAGTTTTATTCCCCTTCTCAAGCACAAGAGGATAAATACAAGACAGTGAAAGAGGAGACCAGATCCATTTGCAGCACAGTTCATTGCTGCATGGCATTACTTAAACTTGCACCAAAATAAAAGTAATGCAATGGCTCGGGAAAACATGTTAGCAATGCATTCTGCAAGACAAATCCTTTTACACCTTCTGTATTTTCTAAAGCTCATAGATTAAAACATGATTTCCGAACATTTGGGCTGCAGAAAAATTTGCAAACAAAGGGCTAAAAATGAACATAATGTTTTCCTCAATGAATCCTCAGTATTCCAAAAATTAAGCATAACAGATTTCTTTCTTTCTTTATGGTTTGTTTTTTTTTCCTGCAAAGAACAGCAGCCCGTGCTTGCTTTGTTACAGCCAGCCAAGGTAGCGATGAGAGAAGCATCAACAATGGAGGTCAAGCGATTTTCGAAAAGCCCACCACTTTCTCAGAGTCCTAACATGTACACACACAAATGACATACTCCAAGCAAAGCCGGGTGCTACGAATCCCAGCAACACATTGCAACTGTGGGTATCTGGGGTTGTTTATTTTTTTTCCCCTGACTGAAGAGCTTTATGAAAAACTGGACAATGAAGATCATGTTGATACATACTCATAAATAAAAGCTTTAAAAGAGAGGGAGGGATTTACAGAATTGCTAATGCACTGATTTAATGATTCCAGGGGACTTTTCCAAATAAACAGAATTATATTCATTTTCTAGGGTTTCTTTATTCTGTTTTCAGGGGGAGGAGAAAAAGTCAGCGTAGTTATGCCCTATCACATTATCCTTTTCGTAACATGATACATTTAAGAAGCTTTCAGGGTTAATTTTTTTAACGCAATCGTTTTTTCTCCTCCAACTTCCATTTCTGCCACTATATGTACACAGCCATAGGATCGGGTTAAAAAAAAAAACAACCCAAACCAAACAAAAAACCAACCCCACACCCAAAACAAAAACAAAATAACAAAACAAAACAAAAAAAAAAAAACAACCCGGAAGCCATCTCTTTTATTGAATCACCCGAGATAAAAGGATTCCAAGATATATGGAAAGAAAATACATTGACCATAAATCTCCTTTATGCACATAATAGAATTTTTCAGCCAAGAGAGCTGTTGTGATGATAGCAACAGCGAGCACCACGAATACTGATGGCACACACACACACACACACACCCCGCCTGCTTCTTCCAAAATACCTGCTCTCCCTCAGCACTGCTATGTAAATACAAGACCGCACAACCCCCTTCCTAACACATGGAAACAAAGCTGCGTACAAGTGTCCCAGCGATCAGATAAAAAAGCCCAAACTGGTTTTGCTCACCATCAAATTAATTTTTTTTAATTTATTTTTATTGCCCACTCCCTTTTCATTGCCTTCCCCTCCCCGCCTCACACTTTCGGTGTGACTTAAAAAATAATTAAGCGATGGCAGTGTTTATAATGCCAAAGGCAGGCGGTGGCAGTGCATATTTAATGGGCACTCGGAACAAAGGAAGCCCGGCTGCAGGAGCGCCCTGGGGCCGGCCCCGCCGCCGCCCCCCCGGGCAGCCCCTTCCCCGGGCCGGGGGACACGGACACGCGGGGAACCCCTCCCACTCCCACCCACTTTGCAATACAATGAAGCCGCGATGGCAAAGCCGCCGGGAACTCCCCGGCTGCCCATCGCGGAGCAGGGAAGGGCACGGCTGCAGCATCGCCGCCTCCCACACCCTGCCCCCGGGAAACCCTCGGCCACAAGCAGCACACCTCCCCGGCCACAAACAGCCCCCCCTCCCACCACCACCCCCAAATCCAACCACCACCCCCTCGCCCCGGGCTGGGGAATGGAGGTACCGAAACAAGTCACTGCCGAGCGCCGGGGCGGGGGGCTCAACCCCGGAGGGGGGGTGTCACGGGGTCGTGGTGACCAGCAAGGGGGGTGGGCCGGGGAGGGCAAAATTGCTGCCGCCGCGGTTTGTGCATCAATAAAAAGGAATAGAGGGGGAAATAATAATTACAAAAATTAAAACAAGGAGGGAAAGTGGGGAGCGCGGGGATTTCAACCGTGCCCGCGTTTTCAGTGCTGGGGAGGGAAACAGGCGTTCTGACTTCTCCTGCCTTCCCCCCCCCCCCAGGGCTGCGGGATGGGGCACCCCATGGAGAACCCCCCCACCACCACCCCCGGAGCGCTGCCTGGGACACCCACAGCTCCCCCGGCAGCGCCCGGGCTTTCGGCTAACTTCCACCCCGCGCCCCCCGGCAAAACGCACACGCCGCGGGTTGGAGCCTAAGTTTGGGGGCCAGTCCAGTTCCACAAAATAAATGGGATGCAAAACACACTAAACAAACACAACCCCGCCGCAAAAGCCCCCTCCCGGGAGATGCTCCCCCAGGCACCCCCTTCCCGCCCCGCACACCCCCTTTATCCCAACTTTCTCCCAGCTCCCCCCAGCGCCAGCCATCCCCAAACGACTCGTTTCGCGCTAACAGGCAAACCCCAGCGGGACCGCGGTAGCCCGGGGGGCTGTGATGGAGCGAGGTGGGGGTGTCCTCTGAGGACCAGGGGGGAACTCTTCTCCACCTCCCTCGGGTTACACACCCGCAGCCCGGCAGGAGCGGGCGCACACATGGCTACTACCTGAGCGGCCCCGCACCATTTCGGAGCAACCCCCAGGTCTCCTCCCGCTGCTCCCAACTTCTCCACACACACACACACAAACACACACACGACCCCTGCAACCTCTCCGGCAGCACCCGCTCAGAAGTAAATGCCCGTTTTTGTAAAGTTTCCTCGATATCGCGCCGTGTTTACATCGCTATTAATTCCCACAGGCTGCCTGAAGGGAACAAAAAGCAGCAGCACGGGAAGGCTCGTCCTGCGAGCAGGGAGAAAACGGAGGGGGGGGAGCGAGGGGGTGAAAAGCAAAAAGAAAGAAAGAAAACCAAACAAACCCCCCAACAATAATAAAGCAAATGAAGCAGACGGCAGCGGTGGGGACATTCCCCAGTTCGCAGGCTCGCTGGTAGCTCTGCTCTGTTTCGGAGGGTGGCTGCAAATAATTGCACGGCCCATTCAATTCTGCATTTGGAGAGGCGACCGTAAGCCCGAGCGGGAGGTAAACACACCGAAATGCACTTACCTGCACAGAAAGTTCCACAAAGCAAGGCGAAAGTCAGCCACGAAGCAATCATATTCCTTTACTTTTTTTTTTTTTCCTCCTCCTCGTGTGCCGCTCTATCCCCAAGGGAAGCAAAAATAAAAACACGAAGATCGAGAGAGTGAAAGAAGGGGGGCGACGCGAGGCTCTGCCCGCGCTCTCTCGCGCTTAAAAAAAAAAAAAAAAAAAGAAAGAAAAAGAGAAAAAAAAAAAAAAGGCAAAAATCCGGGGGGGGGGGGGAGGGACGGGGGGGAGAGATTAAAAAAAAAATCGGATTTAATTCCTTCGCAGCTGCAAAATGTATCCAGTGGAGAGGAACAGCCCCGGACGGTTCGACCTGCTCCTGCCTGGCCCCGGCGTTCGCTCCGAGCTTTCCAAGAGTTTCTTTTCCTGGGCTTTTGTGCTGGGAGCTCGGCGTGCACCACACACTGACTCCCCCCTCCCCTCACCCCCTTCTTCTTCTCCTCCTCCTCCTCCTCTTCCTCCTCCTCCTCCCAGCCCAGCCCCTCCGGCTCCCCCAGCACTACGGGAGAGCGCGCGCACACACACGCGCGCGCGCGCGCGCACGCCCCCCCCGCCTGTCCCCGCGGTGGTGCACGCGCAGGCCAGTGCAGAGGCGCGCGGGATGTCCGCGCGCGCGCGCCACACGCACACACACACACACACACACACACACGCACCCGCTCCGCTTCCCCGCGCAACGCAACGCAACGCAACGCACACGCGCTCCCGGCGCCGGCAGCAAGCGGGGCAGCAAGCGGCAGCGGCGGGACTATGAGAGGTGACCGGCCCCGCGTGCAGCGCGGGTGCTTAACGGCAGGCAAGAGGTCGCGGAGGAGCCGCGCAGCGCCGGCAGCGTGGTGGTGGTGGTGGTGGTGGTGGTGGCGGAGGGGAGGGGAGCGGAGCCGGTGGCGGCGGGCCGCGGCATCGCGGGCTGCGCGGGCCGCGGAGCGAGGGGGTGGCGGGCGCGGGCTGGGCAGGGTGTTGTCATGTATCGGCGGGGGGATGAAAGGAAAGAAGAGAAAAGAAGAAGCAGCTGTGGGGAAAGGGGAGGTTTGTTGTGGTTTGTTGTTGTTGTTGGAGGGGGTTTTAATAATTAAAAAAAAAAAAAGCTGAACCGGTTCCAAAATGGCTTCTAAAAAAAAAGGGAGAAGCCAAAGCGGAGCCAGCGGGGAAACCCGGATGTTTGATACAAAGAGGCTGGAGCGGGGCGGAGCGGCGCGGGGGCTCCGCGGCCGCTGAGTGGGGAGCGGCGCTGCCCGTCAAGGCCGCGCCCCGCAGAGCACCGCCCCCCACGGGATGGACCGGGGGGGTTTGGGGGGGGAGGGAGCGGGGGAAATGGGGAGGATGGGGTTGAGGGGTGAAGCTTCCTCCCCTCGTGCCCGCCGCCTTCCCGGAGAAGGACGGGAGGACCCCCTCGGGGGTGGGGATATACCGTGTCTGTATGGAATAAATAATCCTTCTCTTCCAGGTTGGTGAGAACGTGTTTTCTCTACCCCGGAGTCCCCCGCACGCAAAAATGTCCCTTGACCCCCAGATCTTGCAGTAGCGATGGCTCAGGGGCAGTGTCCAGGAGTGCCAGGGCAGAAGGGCCACCTCAGCAGCATCAATTCCCAGGCTGCTTCAGGGTTAATAAGGTTTTCTGTATTGCGGGGATTACAGGAATCGAACTCTCTCCACAACCTGTTTTAATGATAACTAAATAATATGGTATTAGGGAGCACCACAAGGGGAAGGAAGAGGAACGAAAGATGCTGGAGTTGGGTCATTCCCAAGGCTTGGAGCCTGCGAGGTCCACTGACTCACGGGGGAAAAGGCTGTAGCACAGACGTGCAGCTCCTGCGCACAGTGGTGAATCGCAGGTCACCTCCCTCCAGTTTGTGCTATGGGGAGTAAGGTTGAAAATGTTTCTAAAAGCGTTTACTTTTTCCTCTGGAGGGAGAGAAGAGTAAAACTGAATCATTCCTTTTCAAAGTTTGAGAAGTGTTTTGTTTCAAGAAGAAATAAGTAGATTTTTTTTTCAGTAAGAAGTTTGCAGGAAACTTCAGGAATCTTTTGTAAGGGCTTGTAGCGTCTTGGAAGCTGGAGTCTTTCTTTATATACATACAGCACTTGCGTAACAATGTCTTAACTGTGAATGAGATTCCTAGGTGCAGTTGCAATAAACTGATTAATAGTATCATTCATGGTATCATACCTCATTCATATGTTCAGTGTAAGTAAAGAGGAATTACATTGGCAGGAGTATAGCAGTCGTGACTTCAAACACGATACTCTTGGAGGGAAAAGTTACAGCTAAAGCATGCACCACTGGGCAGTGCAATTGGTAAAGCTGCAAAAAATGCTCAAGAAAATAATTTTTGGAGTAAAAAGCAGCAAAAACAAGCTCACAAAGAGCTAGTGCTGGGCAGGTCTGTGGCACGGAAAAAGCAAGGTGGGTAAAGTTACCCAGTTAGTCAAACTGAGGGTGGAAAATAAGAAGGAGACATGTCTGTCAGAGGGATTGGTCAGGGATGACCCCTACTTACGCATAAACAAGCACCCACAAGCAGGGTTGTTTAGATTTGTAATCTGGAGACAGGAAGGACTGATTTTTGTCACCAAACACTCGTGGGACAAGTCACTGACAAGGGCACACAGAAAGCAAAGGGAATGGAAAGCAGTTAAATGAGAAGGAATGTCTTTGCCATGGGCTGCAGCTGCTTGAAATGCATTGGGATCCTCAAGAGAAGAGACAAGTAATAGGTCAGTATTTCCTATACGGTTGCTTATTTCATTCAAAAGCAAATAATGGGTCATTGCTGTGTATTTCATTCAACAAATAAGTTATGAGAACTACCACATGGCTCAAGTATGGAGAAATGTGTGGGGCAATAAAAAGACCCAGTGTTTCACTGTACCGGCATCCCCACAGTTAGCTAAAATGAGACATTTAATTCATACCAAGAAAATATTAGCCCTGGGGAGCAGGCAGCTTGGCTAACACAGTAGTCGGTTGCGCTCTGTCCCTGCCCAAACTTAAATGCTCCCTGGCCAGCGCTGCTCCTATTTTTAATCTCTGTGCTATGAAAAGCCCTGTTCCACAGTACGTGAATTTGTGCTTTATAGGCAGAGACTTGGGAGCACGTTTATCACACGGCTGTCATTGCTTTTGAGGAAACAGGTCCATAGTGCTTGGGATGTTGTCCTTAAGCCACCCAATAAGATGTGGCCCTTTGCTCTTGGACAGTGTGCTGCTTCACAGCGATGCTGTGAAGAGCAAACTGACAAGAGAACTGGACCCAGGGCAGTTTTTGCCCAGGGATAAATGATACCCTGATTTCTCGTTTATTAAATTGCAGCCTGTGCTGTGTACATTGTTTCACAGGGAGATGTTTACCCTGCTGAAAAGCTAAAATGTTTTCTCTCCTTGCAACATAAAAAGCCCAGGAGTGAGTTTTGTCACCGGAGATAATGTTACAGCCTTAGCAAGATGACACTTAAAAACTTCGTCAGCCTCCAAGAATTTCAGAATAGGGATGAATGAAGGTAGCAAGTGTTCAGGCAGTGCTTGCACGAAGTGCCCTCACAAGCAGTGTTTTCAAGAGCTTTTTTCTGTTCCCAGTTACCATTAGAGCTGCACAGCTGGGACCATTTTTAAATAATTATACTTACCAGTTAAAAACCCTCACATGCTAAAAGAAACTTTAGCTAAGATGGCTTTGTGCTTTGCAGTCTCATATGACACTCTATCTTTGTGGTGTGACTGTTGTAACAAGTCAAATTCATGTATTTTGATACCTGGCACATGATAAAGATACTTGGATCACTTAAGCCTGTACAAAACTGCAATGCTCACATGTCATTTATCTTAAAATCCTATTGTAGCTCTCGTGAAATGTAATTTCTTCAGTGAATGGAAATTTATACTGGCAGAGGTGTTATAAAACATGAAAAATACTCAGGGAAGGGGACCCAACGCTTCCTTTATCTCTTCAAGTATTCAGTAACAGGAATTTATTTTTCAGCTTGGCATTGGTTCGTTGCAGATTACAGAGCTTTGGTGCAAGCAAAGGGACCCGTTTCCAGTCGTCTTAACCAAAATTGCAGTAACTGCAACAGGTGAGACATGGCTTGTGGCCCCGAGATGGCAAACTGGTTCACAGGCTGCAGTGTCTGTATCAGTTCCTAAAGCTGCTTGTAGGAATTCACCCAGCCTAAAGAACCTCCTGGGATCCCAGCTTTTACATTCCCATTTCAAAATGCATGGGTAAGAGAAAACAATTTATATTCATAACCTTAAGTAAATAAATTGTCACTTTAACTACACGTTTTATTGTAATTAAATGCTTTTCAGTAATAAGCAACCCACACCATGAAGGAGTTTCCTAATATAACAGTAAGCTAAGTTCCCAGTTGTGAGCAGAATTAGGAAGCTTTTAAAAGCACAGACCAATTAATATGGCAGAGCCATGTTGCACAGTTCTCAACATGTGGAGGAAAGGTGTTTTTGCTAGAGAGCTTTATCCTTATTTTCCATTGCTGTGTGGTCAGCACCTCACCTGCCGGATTTCCCACTAGGATTTATACCCAGCATTAGGCTGACTCTGCTTCTGGTGGTTTTGCCTGACTCTTAACAGGAACAGACCTGAGGCAGATTTAAACCTTCCCCAGCTTTCTAAGGACTCACTGCTGTCACCTCTCCATAATGCAGCTACAATTAACTTTGCTGGAATTTCTATATTTGAAGCAGCTTTAAATTAGAGGCTGAACTTACAGACGTGGATGCAGATGGTCTTTGCTACTGTCTGTATGAGCCCTTGGGTTTTGCACTAAAAAAGCCCACCCACACTGACAAATTTGCCCTTTGCGGTCTGGCTTCAGTGCAACTGGTAAAAATAGTGAGTGATACGACAGACAGAAAGGGCCCTAAACTATATTTTTTGATCGCTTTTCTTAGCTCTAGACTAAAGAGCAAGGCATCCGATGTTGACAGATTAAAGGGGAATATACCAAGCAAAGGGATCTGCTACCAAGATGCCCATAAACCGAGAGTTCTGCCATCCTCCAGAATGTGAACTCTTCCTTTGGTTCTTAGTTGTATTTTGATCAAAGTGTAAATACCAGCAATTGGCACATTTCAGATAGTGTCAGAGCCGTGGACCAAAGCTTTCTTCAGGTTCAGTCTTTAGCACTGCTTTACTCATCTGTGGGTTTTGTTAGGGCTTCTGGGACATAGCTCATTATTTTTACCACTGTAACCAGCAGAGTGGCCGTATCATCATTTCCCCTTAAATCCAGGAGAGCAAGTCTGCCCTATTGGGCAGGGAACTTAATTGTGAGAAGGCTTTGGAGGGCGGTTGGCACTGGATGCTAGCTGTACTATTAGCATATTACTGCCCCTGAAAAGAACAATCCAAGCTCTAATGCATATACGCAAGTCCCACCAGCTCGATGGGTACCAAAGCACGCCCACACTTGAGCTGGAGACTCCTCTGCTCAGACAAGGAGGATTACGGACATCATATGGCTAATTCTGAAATGACGGTGTATGCTTAATTGGTAAAGGACTGCATTTTCTATCTTTTTTTAACCCAGGACATAGCATCAAAGGTCTGCCTGATATTCGAGGTTCATTTCAGGTATTTCCTTCATTGAGATTCACTGTACCTAAGGTTACTGTGACCTCTGGCTTTGTCTTGTGCTCTTCAGCACTATGAGAAGCCAGTATTCAAATTCCCCTGAAACATAAGGCTGTGCTGCTCTCGCAGCTCACAAAGAGCCTTCTCTGAACCTCAGGTACAAAAGCTTTGGCTGTTTCAGGAGCCAGTGGCCAGGAGTCACAAAAAGCATGATATTTATGTAAGTGGACTACAGTACCAAACTTTAGACATTCATTCTAATGTCCTGCTTTCAAGATCTCTGCCTCAGTTTCCCTGTAAAATGCAAATACAGCATTGGTGGTGCTTAGCTCATTAAAAGAAATAAATACCTCTCTTCTAAGAGTGTGTGTTGCAGGGAGTTGAAGTCAATGCACCTTAAATTCAGCGGAAGATGTTTTTACCAACCGTTCAAACAGATTACCAAGAGCCACAGCAGCAAAATCCCTTCTAGCTTGAAATGTTAAGACTGCCTGGGTTCCTGTCAGGAAAATGTGCTCCAGAACTGGGGGTAGTAGCACCGGAATCACTTCTTGGTGCCACTGCTAGTGACTGTGACAGCCTCCAGTAGTGGCAACCTATTAATGTTTTGGTCCTCCTTCCTTCAAAAGCTGAAGGTAAATAAGTACAGGTCCCATCATCTGATCATTTTGCTTGCATAGAAGTTACCTACAGAGCCTCTACATGAGATGGACAAGCAGAAGGGCAAGAGAAACTCTTCCCATCCTTGGTGTAAGGCTAGCCAGTGCACAGTGCTGCAACCTTGGGGCTCAGGAGCTGTTGAGTCGCCCTGGTTGTTCCACTTTTCTGTGCACAACAGCCGACATGCGGATAACAGCTGGGGCTGGCAGGGGAAGGGCAAGGTGTTAAACCTCTGTGCTGGAGTGTGTTTGGACCAGGCTAGGGCAGCCTTAAGTGCTGCACTCTTTTGGGTGGCTGCCAGCATATCCCATGGGGTTTTGCCACACCTAAAAAAGAGCCTGGGAATACAACAGAACCCTTGAATCTGCAGTGAGAACAGCATGTTCAGTTACTGCCCTTAGACTGTTCCCTAGCCCCATCCATTTAAGTTACCATCATCTGTAAAACAGTCCAGTAGGTATTTACCCACATTGTCTTCAGCTGTTGATGTTTTACCTGAAAATGCAATGCAGGTGTTTTAAAGTGCGTATGGTGGCTACAGCAGCCTAGAGCAGAGGCCTGTCATCTCTCCAGCTCCTTCACGTTTCTCCCTCCCTAGGTGTTCCCTGGGCAGAACATCTTTCAAATTCCAGTATTCTATTTAAAAACGTAGACTTGGGGTTTTTAAACTGGTTGCAATTAAGCTTTAACAATGGGAAGGTTCATATGGAGGTGCTGTGCCCCTCTTTGAAATGGCTTTGAGTAAGAAAAGCATCTGTATCCCTCCTGCAGCCAGCCAGAACACACTGCGGGCTTTACTTCCACTACTCTCACCTGTGGCCTCATGCCTCCCAACACACTCAAGACATGTATGGAAGGGCTAACAAAATATGTCCTGGAGTGTTTGGTGTATTTTTAGAGTTTAACCCAGATTATCGGCCTTTGTCCCAGATTTCAGTGGTTAGGTTATAAGAATGCCCAGTGAGGCCAAGTGCTTCCTGCATTACTCTCAGGAAGGCTTTAATCACAAAAAGTACCCTCTCAGAGAAGGCAAATAATTAAGCTTTTGTGGCAAATACTCTACTGCCAGTAGCAGGAGGTGGTAAACACTCAAGACTACAGTATAAATAGAGCAAGGCAGATGCACTAAGCTTTAAAACGCAACATTATTGTGTTACATGGTATTGAGTAATGAACTGGACATCGCTAGCGAGGTAGTTTTCCTTTTGTCTTTATTGGAACCAGAGTTTGTTTTTTACATCATAAAGTGTTTGTCCTTGCTGCTCATCAAGGGAAATGCTGGTGTAAACAGCCTGGATGAAACTCTTCCCACACTGTGGCAGCTGGCAGTGTGCAAGTGGGAATATTCAGGTGCCATCCAGCCTATCCTCACTTCGGCAGCACCTATTCGACCTAGCTCTTCCTGCAGTCCTGGGTACTGCACAGTGCTCCAGACTCTTAGGGCATCATGAGCTTTGCCTGCAGAATATCTTCCCTCCTGTATAACCTCAGCCTGACCTGCTGCAGTTTGGTCCTTGCTGAGCATGTTGGGGAGGGATTGCTCCTTTTCACTCTGCTCCAGCTTTTTCCCCTTAGAAGATTGCCTCTTTTCAGCCTGTCAGACCCAAAACAGGCAAATTCATTTGTCCCTTCCTCATATTTCTGGCTGCACAGCATGACCCTTGCTCCATCCCTTCAGTTGCTTGGCTGTATCTCAGGGGCTAAATTCAGTTGCTGAAGTCCTAGATTTCCCATGCATCTCTGGCATGCTCTCCTCAGTTCTGAGGGACGTCTCTAGGTTCAGCTCTCCAGTTACACCACAGGTCTTTGGGATCATGGGGGGCTCCCTGACAGACTCATCCAAGCAATTTCTGGCTTTCATGGGCTTCCACCTTGGTATTACCTTTTTACCTTCCTATCAACTGCTTATTGCCCAGCTGCCATAATACCCTTTCTAAGACTGTTTCCTTAGCTTTATAGCATAGGACATACCACATGTCATAAAAAGTACAAAATATAGAAACTATTCTGTTAAGAATCCAGCCACTGGTTCATCAGTTTTGTAGACAGGCAGGAATGACATATTGCCAATACAGATGCAGGTAAAATCTTGCTGCGCTCAGTCACACTTGTGCTTCCCAACGCTCCCCAGCATTCGACAGTGGACATTTTGGCATATTATCAGTGATAAATGTGTTCACAAGTGAGAGCAGCCAGCCCTGCAGGCTGTGATGCCAGGGTATTGTGGGTTCCTGGCATGGGCAGAATGAGACAGAGATATTTTTGTAGTCAGCCTCAAGTTTTTATCTATTTATAGGTATCTTGGTGACCCCTAAATTGGGATTAGGTCCTTTGGCAGGAAGACTGCGCTGCATTTCCTGGCCCCTTATCCATTCAACACACCCTTGCTCTCAAAAGCCACTGATCTTGTCCTTTTATTTGTGCCACCAAATGCCACTCCTTTGGGTTGAGAAGCAAGAACAGGCAGCAGGAAAATTATCAATAATCCATCAAGCAACCAGTCTCATCTTTAATCCCATTTTTTGTGGCCTGTGGATGCTGTGGGGTGGTACACAGACCCTTAATTATTCAGCTACAATAGTTTAAATGATTGCAAGTGGCTGCACCAAATTTGAAAATAATTCAGTAATAATGGAGGGAGAAGATTTTTTTTTTTAAACAAGGATGGCATAGGACAAGGATGAAAAGGGTGCAGGACCCTTGTGGCAGAAGTACTGGTTGGAAGTATTCTTGTGGCCTGGGTTTCAGCTCAGTCTTCTGCAGGATCTCTGATAGGCTTTGCTTTACTTAAGAGATAAGTCCTGATCAGAATGGGAGCAGCAGGCTTTATACACAGAAGTAATTAAAATGTTTCACTCCCTGGCAGGGGAGTTAAAATCAATTTCTCAAATACAAGATGAGAAGCAACTGGCCAGGCTGCTGCCATGCTGAAAAAAGATCCGGGGCTGTGATGCTTGGGAGTACAGCAGAAATCCAGTCCTGCAAAAATCCAGCAGTCCTCCTGGGATGCCTGTTCAGAGGGGCATGCTGCAGAAGGCACGGGACAATTTTTTCCATTAAACTTGGCAATGGTGGTGTCTTGGCTCAAGAACAATTTCCACACTTCAGGAAAGATATGGGTCAGCAGGGAAAAAGCCCAAAGAGATGCAAAAAGAATGATTTGAGTTGTGGAAAACCTGCCTTTGAAGAAAGGCTGAGAAAGAGAGAAGTCTGTGGTCTGAAGAGGGGACCAAGCTGAGACAAAGCAAGTTGCCAAGTACATACAAGGCTCAAGCAAAGAGGAATAGCGTGGTGCGTCCTTGTACCTTCTGCAAGCAGGGCGAGTAATGGCCTTTAGCTCCAGCAGAAAAGATGTCTGTAAAAGATCAGGAAAAGCTTTCCAGTGCCATGGATAGTTCAGCACAGGGGTATTCCCACAGGTTGTTGTGGAATTGTCAGTGCAGGACGGCTTTAAGACAAAGATCCTGCAGGGATGGTTGAGGTATTGTTGATTGTACTGGGAGCCTCTTAGAAGGCTTTATCAAACTACTTCCTCCAGTTGCCACTGAAATCATTGCAATTCAGCACTTCAGCGTTTGCGAAAACCTGCTACAATAGCAATCCCCTGTTTGCAGTCTAGTGGATTGCCAGAGCAATCACATGCATATCTAGCTCCTAGGATTGTAGGGGTGCCAGAACAAGCTAAGAAATAAATTTGCTGTAACCATAGAAGGTGGTTACTCTAGAGCATTAAAAGTCCAGTCTTTCTTTGACAAAAAGTACTGCACATGAACTTTTCCATGTAAAATAATGCAGGGAAATCTCAGTTATGTTTAGAGTTAGAGAGGCACAAAGGAAATTTCATTAGAGCCCACCAACAATGATCTGTTATAAAGGGAACAGGAGCAATTTGTGAGTTCTCAGAAAACAGAATGCATCTCTGTTCTGCCCTGTCCTCATTGTCTGCTGCTGTACTGTAGGACATAGATTCCTTCAGAGAAGGATCTGTGCCTTCTGCTCAGTTAGCTCTTACACATCACGTTTTATTTGCTAGGAGACTTGAATAATGAGCAGCAAAGACTCTTGTTCGTACTTTAAACACATGGAAACTGCAGCACAGAGAAATAAAATGACTTGCGCAGGGTCACAGAGCAATTTTATGGCAGGGCTAGGACCCAAACCCAGCTCCCTTGCTCCCAAACCCATGTGCCAGTCTTCGGCTCTTCATTGACCCGTGATTTTAATCACCTTCCAAGGAAGTCTAATTGGCCTCTTCCAGTTGAATTCCATGGGTATAATGCCAGGTATCAAATGAAGTTACTGGGAATATCAATACAAAAGAAGTCAGTATTAGATGCAAAGAAAGAACTGATGGAAGGGAAAAAATAGATTTTAGAGAAAAAGGAATAAGTTCTAGTGCTGCTTCCATAATATCATTCCCCCTTTAATTTGTGCCTTCTCAAAATTAAAAAAAAATAGATTGCTAATATTAATAGATGAAATGAATCTTGAATTTTATAATAGTGGAGGAAATGAAAGGACCAAAGTAATATTGTGTTGTTAACTGAGATTTTAATAATGATTCTGTCCTCAGTTGGTGCATTTATTCCACAGAAAGTAAATCATTAATGAAGAGGAGGGGAAAACAGTTTGATGATGATGGATTTTTGAAAGAAAAGTTAATTCTGCTTAACTTCTAGAAACTCTGAA